ACAAACACAGGAAAACAAGAACAAAATCAAAACATCTCTAGATCTGACATCATTGGTAAAAAAAATAATGGAGGAAAAAGCTACATACCCTGGTGGTCCATAGAGTTTCCTTCATAAGTGATGCTGCTCAAGCAGTAATAGACCAAGTTGGGCATGGAGAAGGGTGCTAGAACTCCTGGTAGTCCATCCATGGCTTCTCCAGAAGTATGGTGCCTGGGTGAAGTCAACCCCCAGCTGTGCTTGAAGGAAACAGCAGGAGACCCTGGAGATCCATCCAAGGTCTTTTTCAGATGTGAAGCTGCCCTGGGAGAAGTCAAGCCTCAGCTTGGCATGGAGGAAAAAGCTGGAGTTCCTGAACGTTGTTCCTGGAGTTCCTGAGCCTTGGAAGAAAGTATGCAAGCCCCTGGAAGTCGAACCAGGGCCTATCCAAAAGTATATGCTGTTTTAAGAAGTAGTCAAGTCCAAAAGTAGGTCCATCCAGATCATCTTACAAATGTGAGGTTGCCCTGGTAGAAGTCAAACCAAAGCCGGGCATGGAGGAAAGTGCTGAGGACCCTGAAGGTCTATCTAGGGCCTCTCCAGAAGTCTATGCTGTCCTGGGAAAGGTCAAGTCTCAGCAGGGCTTGAAGGAATGAGCAGGAGACCTTGGGGGTCCATCCAAGTTCTCTTTCAGATGTGAGGCTGCCTTAGGAAAAGTCAAGCCTCAGCTCAGCATGGAAAAAGAGTTAAGGTGCATCCAGGTCTTCTTCCAGATGTGAGGCTACCCTGTTTAAAGTGTCTTAAGAAGTCTATGCTGTTCCCCTAAAAGTCAAGCCCCAGCTAGGCATAGGGGAATAAGCTGAACCCTGGAAAGTCCATTCAGGGTGTCTCCAGAAATCCATGCTGCCCTAGAACAAGTCAAGCCCAAGTTGGGCATGGAGGAAAAAGCAGGAGTCCATGCAATACAATCCAGGGCCTTTCCAAAAGGCTATGCTGCCCGGAAAGAAGTCAAGCCCAAACTGGGAAAGAGGAAAGAGCTCCAACATTTGCAAGTCAATCCAGGGCATTTCCAGAAGTCTATGCTACCACTAGAGTACTCACATCCAAGCTGTGCTTGCGAGAAAGAGCTGGAGCCTCTGCCCAAGTAGATGTCAAGCCCCAGCTGGGCTAAAAGGAAAATGTGGGACCTGGAGGGGGGGCAAGCCAAGAAACTTATGCTGCCACAGAAGTCAAGCCTCAACTGAGCATAAAAGAAAAAGCTGGAGGCCCTGGAGGTCTATCCAGGACCTCTCGAGAAGTCTATGCTGCTCCGCAAGAAGTCAAGCCCTAACTGGGTCTGGATGAAAGAGCTGTAGCCCCTGGAGGTCCATCCAGGATCTCTTTCAGATGTGAGGCTGCCTCAGGAAAAATCAAGCTGCAGCTAGGCATGGAGGAAAGAGCTGAAGTCCCTGGAAAATCATGCAAGATGTCTCCAGAAGTTTTCAACAACCCAGAAGTCAAGACCCTGCTGGGCTTGGAGGGAAGAGCTGAATCCCCAGGAAGTCTATCCAGGGCCTCTCCAGAAGTCTATGCTGTCCGAGGGAAGTCAAATCTCAGCTAAGCATGGTGGAAAAGAGCTGGACCCCTTGAAGATGCCCCTGCATCTTTTCAATAAGTTATGCTGCCCAGGGAGAAGCCAAAGCTAGGTATGGAGGAAAAAGCTAAAGCCCTTGGAAGTACATCCAGGGCCTCTCCAGAAGTCTATGCTTCCTCCGGAAAAGTCAAGGCTCAATTCAGCATGGATGAAAGAGTTGGAGCCCCGGGAGGTCCATCCAGTTTCTCTCCAGAATTTTACAATGTCCAAAGAAAGTCAGATCACCTTGAGACCAGGCACCAGTGGAGGTTTTGTGAATTTTTGACCACCTACCTGACCTCCATCTCTAGACACTGCTGTGGTATGATCCAGAATCTGACCATCCAGGAAGTCAAAGCAGCTTCCAGAAGCCCACACATATCCTATATCATCATCGTGAGTGACCCCTTGGCTCTGGAAGCTAGCACAGCTATATTCATGGATATATATGCATAGCCCGGGAGTGAGGGACAGGGTAGTAGTATGCACTAACTAGTATGCAATCACTCTCTCTCTTTGCTTGTTCCATGTCAGATCACAATGAATAAAACCAATCAAGCCTTCGGCTCTGTCCAGCTGTCCCTCAATAGGGAAGAGTACAGCTGGTCCAAGAGGTTCTTGGACTTGCGAGCCAGTCTCCTCGGTGGAAGCCAGGTCACTTTTATTATCTCCAGCCCTGCAGGAACCTGAAACAATATTGTCAAGCCGCATGGGCCAGCATTAGGCTTTTTCTAGGGACACCCATACTCACCAACATTTGCACGGCCATTGTAAAGCCTGGTTTATACTCGACGTGTCAGCTTGTTTGCTTGAGTGCGTGCGGCGAATTTGACGTCATTGCGGAATTTGCGGATGTTCGCTTTGGGTGCGCTCGACATGATTTTGCCTGGTGGTGCACATGTTTTTTTTTTTGTTTTTTTTTTAGACTCGAGCAAACAGTGCACACTTCGCCTCATTGGATTTGAGTTGAATATGAAACACTCTGATGAGATTTTTCCTGAAACAGTAAGGAAAATGCTGACATTTTTATGATCCGTGATCATAGAGATAACCTAGTGATCGATAATTCTTGGCATTCCTACTTCCTACTTTTTCCATCTAATTTTACGGAGGGTTTCTTTTGACCGCCCCCTGTTGTTTTAAAGAATATCACAATGGCGAACGCGTCAAGTATAAAAGCCTCATCGATTTTGCGAGGTGCGTGCCAAGTCAGCGTAGGAGTGCGATGCGGCGCCAGACGAAAGTATAAATCCAGCTTAATGCATCTGAGTATGCACGTGATGCCCTTGGAGCCGCACAACTGCCAATGTATTTCACCCTAACTCCCCATTGCGTACCTGTCCTAATAAAAGTCTAACGGGACAAATCATCCTAGTCACAGTGTGTTAAAAATGGCATGTGGGACTGCTGTGCCCAGATTTAGCCTTAATGAAAGCATTTTGGGATGAATTATCCCTGTCGTAGTGTTTTAAAAGTGGCATGCGGTAGAAAAGCTCTCCAACAGGTGGCTTGTCAAGTCCACTCAACTGTATGAGGAACAATCAGAATTGCACAGTGTTTTTCCAATAACATGGATAGTGTATAACAGGGGTCACCAATCTCATTTCTGGAGGTCTGGTGCCCGGCAGGCTTTAGCTCCAACTTGCCTCAACACACCTGCCTAGGTGTTTCAAGTATACCTAGTAAGACCTTAATTAGCTTGTTAAGGTGTGTTTGATTAGGGTTAAAGCTAAAATCTGCAGGACACTGGACCTCCAGGAACAAGTTTGGTGATCCCTGGTGTAAAAGAAAGTCTGAAATTTTAGGATATCATTTTATGTTCCATACATAAAGAAACGGCCCAGATTGCTGCCAGTACCCAAAGAACATGGCTGCTTTGGTCTTAAACACTGAACAATGACTCACATATATATTTTTAAAATAATTACTTATTTCTCATTTATTTGTTTCATTTATTCACAATATTAAAATATTTATTGCACAGAAATCTCAAATATCATTAGACAGCCAAAAAAAAACATTCAGCAAGATTCGTATCCATTAGAAAAGAAATGAAGTTTATTCAAATCATGAGCAGAGAGTTTTGCAACCACTTTAAGTTAAACAACCCCCGCAACTTAAAAAAAAAGTAAGGCAAAATTCTCTTGTGGAATGAACACAATACAGATTTACTTAGAAATTCATCAAGGTCCTGCTTCTTTAAATCTCTATGCCATCTTTTTGTTTATTTCAGAAGCTCTGGGATCAGTCAGAATAAATCAATATGGCACAATATGTCATGTGTACATATACATACACACGCAATTGTTTGAAGTTTAAAAATTACTCTAAATTTCCCTTTTTTAAGTAATCATAAAAGAAACATTATCTACAAGGCTTAGACGTCAGCAGATCTTCCACAATTCGAGGTTGACGCTGCACTTGACTTGTGCACTACAGTAAGATGAGGGTGCTAGACAGCTAAAAGCATTAACACAGCTTTCATTTACTGTAGACTGGAGCTGTTTTAAGAGCAGGAGCGCAACGATTTGTAAACCAGAACCATAATAGTTTTCTAGTGCCAACATTTGCCTCAAATATCTCATAACACTTTCTTAGTCAAGCTTCAGAGGAAACCTTTAAGTAACCTGGAGACAAAGAGCAGCCCAAAAATTAGAAACCCTCAAATTCTCTTTGGAGCCATGTCAAGTTTTCCTACTCATCAGCTAAAATGAGACTAAAAACTATTCTGGATAACAGAGCATCAAACAGGATGTCAAAGAGAGAGTTTGTTTTGTTATTTTTACAGAGAATGCATATTTACAATACTCAGGCTCTGCTCTGAGCAGGCATCACAGTACAAAACATCTGACTGACCAATGGCATCCTCTGTTGAGGACTCAACGACCAATCAGGTTTGAGCAATGGCAAATAACAAAGCTGTACATGCGCTGGACCACACAGAGCAAAATGTCCATCCTCTAAACACTAAACATTTCAAGTGTCATTTAAGAAAATAACTATTGAAGCAACTGTCTGGCGAATTAGACGTCATCATTTCCCGATGAACACATACTGGAAATTCTTACATTTATATGGTTTGTTTATGAGGGAGGGTGGGAAGAAAGAGGGATAAAATGTTTTAAGCAATTGTTTGAAAATGTCTAATTATTTATTATTATAATTAGGCAAATTTTCTACTAACCATATTCATAAAATTCTTACATTTATGAAAAATAAATTACGTTCTCTTTTCTCAGTTAAGAAATCAAAAAGCAAGGGAAAACATGCATATAAAAAGAGCTAGTTTAAGGTGACCATCTCATCTATGAACGCTTACCCAAAATGCAAGTTGATCAAAAAGTATAGATATAAAACAAAGAAAAGATGTGCAAAAATGGGAGAATAAACTAAATAAAAAACCTAATAGACCTTGGACCCATGAATTTAATATCTTTGTAAATGTATGGACATTTTCCATATAAAGATCAACAGAACACCAAATCTAAAGTATACATGACAACCAAACCACAACTGATTCTTTTTAAACCAGCACCATGGAAGCAAAAATAAAGAGACTTGGACGCATGATGTATTTATTCGTGTACGGTATTCGGTATCCCACAATGCTTTTCAGGAGTGTCAGGGCAGTCCATCCCAGAAGTCCAGTGGTGCTTCTCAAAATCCGGTTTCTGACTGCAAAGTTCCTGCAATGTTCACTCCAACCACCAACCTGAAGAAACCGACATGATTCAAACCGCTTCTGTGAGGTTGTTGTTTGGCCGATGCTGTTTAAAGTTCCATTCGCACTTTTCAAGCTTCCTGCTTCTGATGATGTTTCAAGTAAAGAACACTAGTGCTGGTGACCAATGGACAGAACTAGAGGAATCAGACATCCAAGAACCAGAGCACCGACCTCCAGTTTGCTGAGTCCCTTCCCTGCGCTCCCCCCAGGCGAGTGGCTGTGGCCTCCCATCCCACCCACTTCTGGAAGAACGTGAACCGTGGCCACGTACAGAAAAGTGCCGGCGGAGAACAGCATGGCCACACCGGTGGCGTTGACATCTGAGAGAGCCTCTTTACTGCTCTGGACGGATGAAGAACAAAATGTTAGGTCAGAATGGTGAGAGACTTTATTAATACTTAAAGGGTCACAAAACACCAAAACACATTTTTTGAGCTGTTGACAGTCGTATACAGTATGTGTCCCACACTGCTAGAAACACTATTAAGACACCTATTTTTCACTAAAAAGTGTAAATTGGTTGTTTTTGCGTTATTTCAAGCAAATTCGTACTTTCTGTTTGAAACGAATTTTTGAAGCTGCGTCACGGTCATGACATAATAGCGTGTATTCCAGCGTGCAGACTGGGCGTCTGTGCCAGAGTGAGTCTTATTACGTCTTACAGTGTGATGCATTAATGCATGAGTAAGGCTTGGTTCAAACCAATCAGCGCGCTCTATTGTGCAACTTCATTAATATTCATTTCTGTGTTTGCACGACATGGACGCCACGTTGTGTTGGCAAAACAAGCGTGAAGTGTTGCTTTTATAGTTTGCTGCCGTTAAGTTTCGTTTTCTTTTTCTCTCTGTGAGAGCTCAGACTCACGTGTGGATTACAGTGTACGCGACGCGCGACAACAATAACTTACGTGTCTAAGGAGGATTACTGTTTACCTGAGAGCTGTTCTCATCTGCAAACGCTGAGATCGGATACGCTTGTAGTCTACTCTTCATAAAGACGCGGCTCTAGTTGCTGTGGATTGTCCTGTCTCTACAGATTTGGTAAGTGAGCGACCAGTGCTCTTTGTTTATTCAGTTTGTTCGTATCGAACTAAGTTAACTATTGCACCATAACATGTTAGCACCACAACCAAACTTTTACCTCGTGTAGGGTTTTTAACCGCATTTAGTGACCGGAATAACACACGCGGCTTTCTGACGCTACCTGCCGTGTACATCTAAGTTTCTGGAAAATGCGGAGGTTTTTTTTTTCTCTCATTCGCCGTGCGGTATCAAACATAGCATGAAAAATACACGCTTAGAGCAGTTCCTCGAATCAAATATCTCGTTTGTCGCGAGGGGCATGAATGAATTCCCTGAATGAAAGAGCCAAACTGCAGTTAAAGTCCACCATTTAATAATTTGGCAAATAATTCCACTACAGATGTCCATGTAGGTTAAACACCATCACTTTCTACTGTGTGTGAGTATTTTGACTGAAACTTGCGCGTGCCCAAATAGACACTCCCACACCCTCCCACTTTAGTTCCTCCGACAATCCCCCCTAAACAGAGCAGGACACGCCCACTTTTCTGACTTTTTCCAAAGTAGAGGTGTGAAAACACCCTGCTGAAACAAGGGGGTTTCATGGCCCTTTAAGTTATACTGACATTGCGTCCTAACTACACACGGCACAACAAGATTACAGGGATAAGCAATTTGGTTGTTTTCAGCAAACGTTACACTGTAGAAACATTTAAAGAGCCCCTTTCATGGGTTTTTGAAAATGAGCTTCCATGCGGTGTGTAAGCTCTAAGTGAATGAAAACATCCAGCTGAGGTTAAAATCTAAAAGTGCAGCATGTTTAGAACTATTGATTCTTTGGCGAAATAGTGGACTCAGAGTCGAATAAACTAATCGAGTTGGGTTCAAATCTTTTGTTTAATCATATTGACGTTGATATGATGCATCACCAAATATGTACTTGCAGTTCTGTTAAAATGTCTACTAGGACAGCAACAGTGAATAGATTAAATCGATCAAAATCGATTTATTAAAAGTGAATTTCATAATTGATTTGGTGCGACAGAGACGTTTGATTTCAGCACGGAGTGAGCACGGTCTTTCTTGCGCACTGATGCAGAGTTTTGCGCCTCATAGACAGGGATGAGGAGGAAGGGAGTTCAACAGCAGGGTAAATCACTACAGAATGCTACTTTTGTTCCGTTTTAAAGTGAGGACTGTAAAGTCCCGGGTGCTGATGTTTTCCTCGTTATCCAGCTTTTCAGTCATGACAAGTTAGCGATAGCTCGTTTCCCTCATGCTGTGTTTACACCAGACGCGGAATGTCCGTCAAGCTAGCGTGATTTACATGTTAAGTCAATGCAAACGAATAGAATAGAATAGAAATCCTGCGGCGTGATACACGCGAATGACGGGAATGCCGCGGTGCGAATGTCGCGGCTTGAGCGTTTTGCGCGTATGACGTGCTTAACGCACGTTTCGTTCAAAAATCTGAACTTCAGCGGACATTCGCACCGCGTTAACCAATCAGGAGCTTCCTCTTGGGGGGCGTAATTGTGACGTATCTGCCCATCACGCAAATCCGCATCTGTTCTAAAGTGAATTTGACGCGCAAATGAAGCGGATTTGATGCGCAAATGAAGCGGGGTTTGACGCGTGAATGAAGCGAGTAACCTCAAATGTTCACGTGGCAATTTACGCGCAATTTATCCGCGCGTTCCACGTCTGGTGTGAACACAGCATTATAGCGGCAACTGAGCTGAGCCAGAAAAAGTGGTGTCATATTATCACAATTAAGCAGCGTTTTAATCGCCTATGCCTAATTTATGTTTTAGGCATGTAAATACACACAGATACTAGTAAAACAATACATTTAGATTTTGTAAAACGCCTATGGAGGTCTAACAATATAATTTGCAGATGTGTTTTAATCATATATCAAACATTACAAAACTAAATAAACGGGATACATGCAACTGTGGCTGCGGTGTGTCATGTGACAAACATGATGCGTCACCACGGAAACATTTAGGGTGAATGTTCTAAAATAATAACAAAACTCTCTTTTCTGGGGCCAGATAGAATCTTTTAAACTCACCAGTGAAATGGTTAATAACAGTAGTTAAGCAGCGGTCACAGAGTAATTTTGCATTGCAAGACTAAAGACGTGTTTTTATTCACTCGCCTTTTTTTGATCATTAATTTTTTCATCTGTTGTCATGTATAGCTGCACTGCAAAAGTTTTTCTCACTTAGTAATTTTGTCTCGTTTCTAGTCCAAATATTTAAAAAATCTTAAATCAAGAACAGACAATAAAATGGCATGAGAAAATGTGATGCTGAAAACTTCTGTGAGATTGTATCTGAAGCGTCTTTTCCACTGCACACGACATTTGGACACGACTGTTGGAATACGCCCCCTTGTGGCAGCTGCACAGTATTTTCAGTGTTGTCGTGCACCACGGGGTAGAAGCTGATTCTCACGGTGTACGATATAAAAGAGGGCAAAAGCAAGAGCCTTTTTTCTCTGTGTTCACATGGTATAATGAATGAATGAATACTAGAAACTCATAGACCGCTAAAATATTGGAGGGAATGTGGAGACAACATTAAAAATATATATTTTTATTACTTTCTTACTTACATTTATAAACAGAAAAGTTTTTTTTTTAATATAGACTTTTAATAATTCAAAAAATAACCAAATAAACTCCTATTTCTCATCTCGAGCCCACGGATCTGCTTGGACAACACTGGAATGCATCATATCCGGTCGGCAGGTTGCATACGGTCTAGTCGCAGGAGTTCAAATATTTCAACGGATCCGCAGCTCAATTCTGATCCGAATTTTACACATACGGAGATGATCGGAACTCAACGCAGCTCCCGGACTACTCTCCATTGGAAATAAATGACTTCCGGTCTGTCGCTTGTAGTTTGTCGTGTGCAGTGAAAAGGAGGCTTCAGTAAGATATATTTTTTACCCCATTGGCAAATAATTTAGCTTGTTTTAAGCAAACAATGACTTCATTTTGAGAAGTTTTTTTTTTTTTAGAAAAAAAAAGACAATTTCTTATGCTATTGCTATCATGTGTCTAGTATGTATCTTGATTTTAAAATATTTACATATTTGGATTGAAAACAGAAAAAAAAATATTTTTTTTATTTTTTCATTTTATCAAAAAAAAAAAAAAAAAAAAAAAATATATATATATATATATATATATATATATATATATATATATATATATATATATATATATATATATATATATCGACAGAATTAAAATAATCGTTAGTTGCAGCCCTAATGTGCATGCGCTTTCCCTTCACACACTAGCGGAGGCGTGGAGGATCACGGGACTGATTATGAAGTGGCAGATTCGGCAGCGGGGAATACTGAACTATTCATATGGGAGTCGCTGGGATAATTAAGTAAAAATAAATGCATATTACAAGACAATGAAAGTGTTTTTGACCTTGCAAGCATATCAGCCTGTTGTTGGAGACCCCTAAAAACAAAATATGACCTTTTAAATGAAAAATAGGGGCTCTTCAAATAACAGCTACTGCACTCTTGAAGAAATAGTTATGGTCATTATTTAATTAATATATATTTAACACATAAAGGAGTAGTTGTGTAACGGTTAGCGAATTGAACCCAAAGATTACTGGTTTGATTCTCGTTCCTGGCAGGATTTGAAGGTGGGGGTAGTGAATAAACCTCAATCTCTCCATCTTTCTACACCCAGCTGAGGGGACCCTGAGCAAGTCACCTAACCTCTTACTGCTCCCCAGTTGCTGAAAGCAATAGTTGCCCACTGCTCTGTGCGTTTATGTGCATCCTTTGCACACACACACACACGAAAAAGTGGGAGGAGTGAGAGGACCAATATAGACTATTGGAAACCACTGCAGGCACCCTGATCATGCTTGTATTCCCACTGCCAACAGTACCCTTATTTGGTAGGCATGGTGTATGCTAGTATGTTGTGATTAACAATTATCACAAAAAAGACAGCAGTACAGGTGTTCCCATTGCACAGCTTTTGCACACTCAAGGGAATTCTCAGGACAATTGGCATCATGCGAGAATAGTTGGCATGGAATGGAAGAAAAGTTCATGATTTTAAATATACTAAGGTTTTAAGAGTAAAATCACTGTTGAGTTGCATACCAGCTCTCTTAAGGCAGGCACACACCAAGACAACTGTGTGTCTGCTCACGTCTTGTTCCATCTGAACCAAAATGTTGCTCATTTACACACCGAACAAACCGCATTCTGTGCCTGTATAGGAGGGCATGTTTTCCGCACCCGTGGACGGTGGAAGTCCGTTTTCTA